TACACGAAGGTATCTAGCCCGTGCAGCAGTGAAGAAACAAGACGAAGGAGAAGAAGGTCGATACTTCCGATCGGCCGTAGGGAAAGGGTTTAGGGTTTTTAGAAGAGAAGTAGGGAGAGGAATAATCTATATTTTTGATCCTTACGTAAGGGAGTTGGGGTCCCTTATATAGTAACATATGGAGTCCTCAAACCCTAATATTAATTCTAACCTGTCGGTTCAAAAAAGGCGTCGAGGTAAAGAACCGAAAAGAAACCCTCGAAGGAGCTTATAAACGCTCACCTAGAAAAAATCTAAGTTACAATAAATAAAGGAATAAATAAAAGATAAAAGAACTACACGTAATCCCGGTAACGTTGGGGTGGCCCAACGTTACGTCGCGGTCGCCCCGAGGTCGAGGATCCGTTTGTGTTGTCTGCATGCACCACGTCCGAGCTTCCCCTTAGCAGGCCCTCTTCACTATTTGGGCATTCCGCATGGTCATCGTTCGGCCCATCTATGCTTGGGCCCGTATCAAATAATCCATGGCAAGTGGCTGAAGGAGCTAAAAGGGAAAATTTAACGCATTTACCACGCACTTGTATATCTAAAAAAAGAGTCATGTTTAAAATACTAAAATCATGATTACAAACATGACTCTTTTGTAGAACAGAGGTACTTTTATTTTTTCGGCATTTTCTTATTGCAGAATGTGGAGGGAAATCAGACTTTTGGCAGAGACTAAACCTGTGGTTGCATCAATGGCTGATGTGGCAGCTAGTGGTGGATACTATATGGCAATGGGTGCACAGGCTATTGTGGCAGAAAACCTTACATTGACGGGCTCAATTGGAGTTGTTGCAGGTCGGTCTAACTACTAAAACTCCTTTCTGCAATCTTTATCTTGATCTAGCTGACATGAAGGAACAAAATTATTTGGGCTTGATATTTGGGTAAACAAAAAAAATATCGTCTCTCTTCAAGTAGAATGACCAACATCATGTTTCTTAATGAAATGAGGTATCTCATCAGTTCTGCCACTTCTGGAATCAGTCTATTATTGGTGCTATCTCATGGAAATGACTAGTGATCTATGAAATTAAAATGCAAACGACACTCTGTGTAGGTTGACTTGTATATTTTCTCCATTGTGGATAAGTAATGTTTGTATTCACAAAAGACTTATCTATACTCTTTCCGTCCCAAAATAGATTTCCTCGTTCGACTTTCACAGAATTCAAGAAAAAGTGAAATTGTATGGTGGAGGTTTATGCAGAGGAGAGAGAAATAATGTGAACCACTCATTTTTTCCTTAAATCGAAATTGACATTTATTTTGGGACATCCAAATAAGGAAAATAAATAATTTATTTCGGGACAGAGGGAGTTTACTTTTCAACCAAGCTTAAGAGGCGCCAAAGGCCCCTTTGCCCTTGGGTTAGAGAATTAAGAAAACGTTAGTGGATTCAATCACATTTTGGGGTAATGTAACTTCCATGATCTTGTGTCGTGTACTCGTGCTTTTATAAAGCTCATTGCAAACAAGATCTGGGGTGCAGACATGCAGTAGTGTGCATATAAGGGGTTCTAATCTTAAACTTGTTGGAAACTTTATTCAGAGGTGCAGTAGTTTGCATATAAGGGGTTCTTCCATTAGTTTATTAATCTATAAGACTCTTAAGTCTGGAGTCCTCTAGGATTCTTTTTTTCCTTTCTAGTTTTTACACAACTGTTTGCAGATTTGAATGTATCCGTCACTGATGTTTGGTGCTTGGTATGATGCATATTGCAATCTTGTTACTTTCCTGTGGAAACTAAATTATTATTGACCTTTTCGTCAGACAAAACACATTTGCCTTTCTCATTGCTACATAATGGTTTTTTGCTACTATTGAAAATCTCATTTCTTCATGCGGCTGCAGAGACTAACATTCACTTCACTCTGTCTAATCCTTTACGTAATCTTTGAAGGGAAGTTTAATCTTGGAAAATTATATGAAAAGCTTGGCTTTAATAAAGAGATAATATCAAGGGGTAGGTTTGCAGAGCTTACTGCTGCTGACCAACGACCATTCAGGTGAATCTCTAATAAATGCCTGCTTGGAAGGTAAAACATTGACACCATAAAATTGTTGAGAATAGATGCTTCTCTCCCGTTTAGTCTTATTTTATTTGATCATGGAACTCAGAACAGGCACCTAGAAATTTATGATGGTGAAACTGTTCAATTGCAGAAACGATCTGTATAAACTTTTCTGGCACAGATCCCAAAAGACTTTGAACCAATCTTTTGTCTTCAAATGCAGACCCAGGGTTGCTTGCTTGTGTTGCAAGTTGACTAATTTTACCACCAAAATCATCAAGTGACTCATTTTTTTCATCTTTAGAGTCTCAAAATCTGATTCGAGTGTCTGTAATCGTGCCGCTTCAACCCTGTCAACACCAACAAAGCGAGTTTTGAGAGCATCCCAAATTTCTTTCGCTTCGGTAAACTGAGTAACTTTTAACACGATCTCTTCCGGCAAAGCTTGAAACAGATATGCCATTGCCATATTGTTCTTATTTGGATCGATTTATTTTCTTGGTTCGATCACCTCCCAAATCCCATTAACATTAAAAATTGCTCTGATCTTCACAGCCCACGGCCCAAATAGTGTAGTTTGTAGCGGTTAGAATGGAACCTTAAACGATAGTGAACTATTCTCCCTTGTAGTCACAATCTGTCTGTTGTCTTCCATTGCACGACTTTAATTCCTTTGACAATTTTCACAAAATTCTTAGATTTTGATTCCTTCCTGGGTCGTAAGCCACCTGCAAACGACCATTAACCAGAAGACAAACCCCTGCTTTTCCTCTTCCAAGTTCCAAGCCGCTAAACTATAGCTACCCCGCTGATTCGTTTTTCCCGCGTCTTTTGGTTGGAATACTTTTGCCCAGAAAAAAAACTAGCAACTTGATGTTCTTTTTCTAGGCGAGGAAGAAATCTGGTCAAAGATTTTGATCTGTTGTCTTGGAAGTTGCTAATGCACTGTTTTACGATCAGGCCAGTCACTCATGCTGTCAATCGCACACCCCTGATCACAAATCCTACCTGCTCCCTTTGATCGCTGGGTCCTGATTGATTGGATTGTCGCTTCGATACCAATTGATAGACAGGACCAGATCTAAGCAAAGTAGAATATTTATTGTTGTGAACTTTACATGATTGTTTGTGTTCTCTAAATATAAATAGAGAACAAACCAACACGACTTTTACTAACCAACACAACTATTACAAACCCACACACCTATTAACATTAGAAACTACCCATAACTGCTTTTAGAAACTACCCAACTGTTTTTTTTAAGTAATTAAATATGTAAAACGCACTAACCGACACCATATTAACTAACATGATCATTGACTCATTACCCATTTGGTTATATGTGAACAAAGCCGATCAAATCTAACATGTATATTGTTCAAAATGAGAGAGGTGATTGTGGTTTCCAAACTGAGATATTTGAAATTGCATTCCCCATGAATCTACTAGAATAAATTGTTGGGAGTCACCTGATTTTGGAGATCATCCTACCCCATGATTCACACCTGAATCTAGTGCTTTTTAGTATCATCTGATTTAAAATCTCATTTTGAAAAAGCAAATCAAAACCAACCTATAAGTATCCCAACATATATGGAATTATGATATTTGTGATGATGATGATGATAATATACTCATTTTATGACATTCCTAGACCGATAATGGTTGCTTCCATAGTTATAAGTCATTGCCCAATCGTCAATTAGGTGGTAAGTCGGTCGACTAATCATCCCTCATTGCCTAATCGATGACCGAGTCAACCTGCCCCCTTTTACCCGGCCCAGTTTTAAAAAGAAATTGGCTTACATGTTTACGCCTTTTCATTCTTAAAACCTTTGTCGTTCCTCCCTGCGCCACCCTTCGGCATCAATCTTCCCGGTGAACCATCCCTCGTTGCTGTTCTGTTTTCATCCAGGCACCCTCCCCCTCTTCATGTCTTTTTCTACTCATTTATATTTGTTTGATGATAACATTTTTATTTTTATATACTTTGATATGATGTGACTCATTTCTCTTTGTAATTACATCATACGGAGCATTCAATTATTCAGGTTAATTTGGAACAGCCTCCCTACCTTTTTTAGGTTGGGGTAAGGTTTGTGTACATGGCCCCTCACCAGACTCCACTTGGGGGACCATATTGGGTAATGACCATTATGAGTAACGACCAATTCTCTTCCATAGGCCTGATGAAGCAGAACTATTTCAGAAATCTGCACAGAACACATATAAACAGTTCCGAGATAAGGCAGCATTTTCAAGATCAATGAATGTATGTGTTTTTTTAATGAAGCATACAGATTACGGATGCCATTCAAATACCTTAATTCCTTGTGCAATAAGATAGTCCTTATTACATGCAGGTAGACGAAATGGAAGCAGTGGCACAAGGGAGGGTTTGGACTGGTAATGATGCAGTCAAACACGGCCTTGTTGATGCAATTGGTGGTATTTCTCGTGCTGTCGCAATTGCTAAACAAAAAGCCAATATACCTCAGGAAAGACAGGTATATTGGTCCTTCCTCGATTCTACATCTGCTCCAACCTTTTATACACTATTTATTATGGAGCATGAGTTTATCCAATAATGGTAAACCTTTGAGACCTGAATCAATGTCATTGATGATAACTTAAAGCATATTTTTTGAGGATTTTCCCATTGTTAAGCTTGGAAACAGCCGCTCTGCTTCCGAGTAGGGGCAAGGCATGCGTACACACACCCTCCCCACTCCCCAGACTCTACTGTTGTAGAGTGGGATTCAACTGGGTTGTTGTTGAGTTTATTTCTAGTTATGAACAATATAATCTCATTGCAAGATGAAACGGAGCCTATTGCCATGACATTTATCTTGAACAATATATTAACACGCCTCTAGTGAAACACTCTCATGGCAAAATGATAATACTGAAAACATATGTATTATATCTAATCCTAAGTAAATTTCAATATGTAATTGTCACGGTCTTCAGTAGCAAAATTTGACCATAGTTTCCAAAATATATACTCTCACAAATTGGTCATGTGTATTTTCATACTTCATTACTCCGGAGTACGTAAAAAAATAGCTCCCTCTGTCCCAAAAAAAGAGCCACACTTCTAAACATATTTGCCCCGAAAAGGAGACACTTCTAAAATTTATTTGTAAAAAAAGTCTCGTTTGAAAAAAATAGTTTCCAACATATTTATGTTTTATATAAAAATAAATGTCCCAAACAAGTTGAGTGTGATGCCTTTATGTAAAATATTTGTATTCTATCTACACAGAAGAAATACCTGTAAAGTTTAATTAGGGCCAGATAGAGTAGTACTTTTGAGCGTGTCAATTGAAAAAGTATCATTTCCTCACCGTAAGACTCTCACATGTTTGTCATATTAAGACAATGTTTGGTAGCCTCTTTCTTGTCTTGGTATCAACATTATCAGTCCAATATTTTACTAAACATTAGGATATTCTACAAAACACTAACTTTAGCTTAACCAAGATTATTATTTAAAAAAAATCACGATGTCTTTTGTTTGTTTGTTTGGTGTTGTGAGTCAAGGTTGATGTTGTGGAGATGTCAAGGCCTTCTCCATCTTTGCCAGAATTATTGAGTAGTACGGGAAACAGTTTGGCCGGAGTGGACCAAAGCTTAAAAGAATTGCTCAGTGAGATGGCTTTTTCAGACGGAATCCAAGCCCGCATTGATGGAATCGTGCTTGAGAAAATGGAAGGAGCTGCTCATGGAAATCCTCTGTTGAGGTTGATAAAAGACTGCCTCAGTTCTTTATGAAAGGTTACTTTTACACCTTCCATCTCAACACTTGTTTGAAGTGCCTCTGTTTTGTTTTTACTAAAACCACAGGCTAATGAGTTATTTAGCTATATCTTCCCACTTGGGCATGTCTAATGGGTGCTTGTTTAGGAGTGGGATATGATGATGAGTGGAAGAGGGCGGTGGTTAGAGAGGGGTGAGGGCTATGGAGAGAGGAACTTAATTGGTTGAAGAAAAGGTGTGGGCCTTTTTTCCTTTGCTCTATAGTTGGTTCTCTTTTTTTTCTGCATCATATTCAACCCTATAAAATATACTGGTTCTATTGTGATTTTTTTAAAGGATGAATGAATTTACATATCCAATAGATTCTATTAGTATTTTTGCATGACGTAATGAATATCATGTGTGATATCCTCATTTAAACATGATGGATAGATCTCACAATCAGAGCAACCAGATCGGTTCTGGTTGAGATTTATTCGATTCAGATATCTTTTAATTAGATGCTATAATCATATTGGTTAGGTTTTGAATCAATTTAGATATGATTTAAATATAAATTGGTTCAGAAAGATTTTGTTTTTGTGTATTTCGGTTCAAATTTATTTCAATATTAAATATATTCGCTTCAGATATATTTTGATTTGAGATATATTTTAGATCTTTATTACCCAGTACTTTCGTATCATGTTACATTTATCAATCTATAATAGATTTAACCTCTCATGTTACAGAGTTTTTTTCCAACTATTTTTTTGAGTTGTTTTTCTTTGTGTACAATTTTTTTCAGGTCAAATTGTAAGTCAAGAGTAACAATTAATGGTACACTAAAAACTTAGGTGATAGAATTACTCTTTGTGCTCTTTTGGGTATGATATTTCTATGTGGTTATAAGCTAGTCAAAGCTAAGGCAATGTTCCGTTCAATTTATTTATTTTGCTTATTACTTATTCTTATTAAATCATACTCCCTCCGTCCACAAATAAATTTTCCGTTACGCGTTACGATGTTTGACTGAAGTTATTTCTAAATCATTTTATATGAAAAATGGTGTAAAATTTAAAAATAAAAATTACATATTAAAAAACTATATTAAAAAATCTACAAAACTAGAGGTGACATGATTATATTATTTTATCAAATGAGTGATGAAAATATGTCAACAAAGTGAATAAAATTTGACCCTGTGAATAATAAATGAGAAGTTTATTTGTGGAAGGAGGGAGTATAGGATTCAATAAGATCAGATCAAATCAGACTAGATTAGATCTGGTCTAATCAAATCACATCTAAACAATATTATTATTATTATTATTATTATTATTATTATTATTGTTGTTGTTGTTGTTGTTATTGTTGTTGTTGTTGTTGTTGTTATTATTATTATTATTATTATTATTATTATTACTATTATTACTATTATTATTATCATGAGTATTATTATTATAACTATTATTGTTATTACCATTAATATTAATAATATTGTTGTTGTTACTATTGTTATTATTACTATTACTATTATTATTACTAGCTACTATTACAATGATTATAAATATTATTAGTTTTGTTATTATTTCTTACTATTATTATTACTATTACTATTATTATTATTATTTCTCATATTATTAACATCTCATTTATTATTACTGTTATTATTACTATTACTATTATTATTACTATTATTATTATCACTATTGTTAATATTAATATTGTTACTATTACTATTACTATGCTTATTATTGTGAATACAATTATTATTACTATTGTTATTATAATTATTACTATTATTATTATTACTATTAATGCTACTATTATTATTACTACTACTGTTTTGATTATTATTATATTACTATTATTATTGATTCTATTATTATTATTATGACTATTATTATTAGTATTATTACTGTTGTAGTTATTATTATTATTATTATTATTATTATTATTATTATTATTACTATTCTTATTATTTCTATTATTAATATATCTATTATTATTATAACTATTATAATAATAAATTTAATTTAATTAAATTTATATCAGATCAGATCCAATCAGATCAGATCAAATTAGATCAAAACATCAAAAAATCAGATCAAATTAGGCGAACGAAATGCAGCATGAGTCTTCAACCTATAAGTCAGTTGATGATATGTTTTTATGTGCTTATAAGCTGACTTATAAGCTATTTATAAGCCAGAAAAATAAGTAATTCTTATTTATTTATTTATTTTTTTTTAAGCTGTTTTCACCACATTATTTATAAAATTGTCTCTCGTTATTTATGTATATTCTCAAATAACTTATTTATCATTGAAATTATTTTACTTCTACGAAAGAATATTTGGCTTATGAGCAACTAGTCAAAAGTACTTATTAGTAAAAAGTCAATAAACATCATTAGAGAGTTAAATTTAATTATGATACAAAATTTTCACCGTATATAACCATGTGAAACATACTCCAGTTTAGAATCGAACCTCAAGCATTCATTCATTGAACATCTGTATTTTTCGCAAATTGGCCAATTGTCATCGCAATATATTCACTGAACGTTTGTATTTTCCACAACTCGGCAAATCATCATCGCAACTGTAACACCCTGCCCCCCACTCCGGCTGAAAGTGTCTATCATAGGATTGTAGATTGGCACCACAAACCAACACAAGTATTTCTCAAACACTTTGTCCTCACTCGTGTGCACTCAGGGAACTTTCAAAGGGTCATCCATCATATAATTGCTCCAAGTCCAGCACACTTCACTTTGGAATTTTTAAGTTGTGTGTCTTGAAAAAAGATGCATCTTGTTGGTATGAGTAGTTCTATCAATCTTTTTGAGTTCTTTCCATTCCCATGTTAACCCAAAGTATTACATTCACCCCATTAGCAATGCAACGTCCTCGCTACACCATTTGTAAGCTCCTAGATCTTCTCCGCTAAATGAACTAAGCTCGTTGGCATGTCACGGTCGTAGAGTTGCTCTAATACCATTTGTAAAACCCCGATCCCCACTCTGGCTAAAAGTGTTTGCTCATTTGATTATAGACTCGCACCACAAACCAGCACAAGTCTTTCCCATTCACTTTGTTCTCACTCGTATGCACCCAGGGAGCTTCCCAAATGATCACCCATTCTAGAATTGCCCCAAATTTAGCACGCTTAGCATTGGAGTTTCTAAGTGATGAACTCTTGAAAAAGATATGCATCTTGTTGGTATGAGTTGTGATATTAATCATTTTGAGTTCTTTTCATTTCTATTTTAACTTGGGTGTTACAACAATACATTCATTGAACATCTGTATTTATCACAAATCGGCACATTGTCATCGCAATACATTCATTTAATGTTTGTATTTATCAGATACATGTTAAACAAATTAAATAAAACCCCTAAATTGGAGCAAAATATGTGTGATATCCTCAAAGAAGGATCTCTGACTTTAACTCCTTTAAATAAGAGTAATTAATCAAATGTTTATCATCCCATCGCATAATCCATTCCCGTATATTCTTTCTCGTTGTTTGACCATTTCGATACTTCGACCAAATCGCTCCTTTCTTATCATAGGCCACTCTTGATCACAGGTGCACTCCCATTCCTCTCCGATCCAAGTCCAAAGCAGAACATAAGTGCACCATTGATTTTGAACTCCCACTCGAAGTATGGCGTTCAACTAAGATCTGGAATTAAGATTCCAGCTCAAATCATGACATTGATGTACAATAATGACCATAATTCCATCAATGGCAATTGATCTATCGTTAAGGTTAATTTTTTATTTGTCTTTAAGGAGTTCGATATCAGTATCTACATTGATTCCAACCTGGACCCAGATGAAGAGAAGCTTGAATGGAAAAATGGAGCAAAGATTAACAGAGTCAGTCATAAAATGCAAGTTTTGATATGAATTTATTTTTTTTACTTTCTTTGGCATTTCATTGTTTTGAAATTATGAATTAGCATATACGTTGTGCCACATTATACATTACCATGTTTTTTACTATGCATTGTCATGTATGACTTTATATATTGTCATTTATGACATTATATATTGTTATGTGTGGCAATATATGTTGTCATGTGGCCTTATTTGACAATGTATAGATAAATAAGTGACATTATCAATGAGCAGATTGTGGTTGTGGCATTAGGGGTGGCAACGGTAGTGACACCAGTGGTGGTGTCGACGACGAGGTTGCTCCGGCCAACAACGATGCTCCTACTGAGCTACTTGACGATGATCTCATGGCCGGCCTCTTGCACGGTGACAACTAGAAGCGACACTGGTTGTGAATCCAAAGAGAAGAAGAATATTGTCAACACGGTAGCGATGAACGACCGAGGTGGTCAACTTTACTAACTGAATTTAATTTACTCCGCAATATTGAAATAACACCTATTTTGGTACATTATCAATGTGATACTCCTATTTTGCTCCTTAACCCAAAAATTTAGTTTCATGACAAAATTATTGGGTTATGTTAGGTGTACACTACTTCTACACCAGTGTGCTACAGTATACCCACAGATAATTATTATCTTTGGATGTAACATACTGGTGTACACCAAAATGATGCAAACCTAGCATTTAAAAAATTATTTTCAAGAATTGTTAACTTCTTTTTTTAGTTTCCGACAATAAAACTTTAATTTCAGCCACCCAGCATCTTTAGTTCATCATCTTCTCCACACGAAAAGTCGACCACAAACAACACTTCACTTAATCGATTCATATTTTTAGTCTATCGATTCGAATTAGTCTCTCTTCAATAGAGAATGATTTAGAGTTTATTCTCTAACTTTTCCTATTATTTATTATTTATTTTTATTAGAATTAGATCAGATCAGGTGAAATTAGATTGAAAACAACTTTAAATATAAATGAAATCAAAGTAGAACATATCAGATAAAAACACGTGTTCCAATCTGATCAGAACTAATCAAAATCGGTGAAGAGAACAAGCTCTTAGTATCTTCGTCTCTTAGTATTTGTCCAGTTTTCTTCTTTTTTTATATCAAAATTGGTAAATTTTGATCAACATCAAAAATAAAATTAAGATTGGATGTTGATATAAAAATAATTTTAATATATTTATTTTATAAAATATTTTCAAAATATTATTTTATGTGGTTAATATACAATATATAATTTATTCAATTATAATTCAAATAATAAAAATAATTAACTTCAATATTAGGGATTTTGTATTTTAAAGCGCTCGTGGGAGCTACTCTTTGAAATTATCGTGGTTCTTTATTCTAGGAGGAGAACATTTTGTTTTCGTTCTCGACTCGCTCCTGGTTTAAAATCTTACCTACACCTATGCCCCTTTAGACGGTTTCACACCACTTTTTATTTTTTTATTACTAATATACCCCTAATATCATATGGAGTACATTATAGCCTATTTTTCACATAATCAAAATTATAAAATAGATTTGGTCAACCATTGTTAGTGGTTTTACAATATTTCAATATTTTTCCTTTTGTATTTTATCTTCAAATAAATGTAGTTCTATGAGAAATGCTAGATTAAATATATCAACACTGTTAAAGGGGGTTATTTTTAATCCAATTTCCAAAATGCGAAGATAATTTTTTTTACCAACATGTAAACGCATTATTATACACTGATATACTACTCATATGTTGTGACAAGTGACAGGATGCACTAACACAGATAGTGCAAAGGACATTTGCATATAAAAGTACTATTTATTTTTGTACAATTGATATATTTTCATATGTCATTTCTTAAAATAATATAGACATGGCACGTCATCATTTTTAAGTTCTCCAAATATAGCTTTTTAGCTTTTAATTCTACACATGTTTAGTAATTTCTTTAATTAAGCCACACATGTGAAATTCAAATGTCATAAAAATAATGCGAGGGAGGGGTTAATATTTGTAAATGGTTTGTAGTTGACTTGTAGGACTGTGTAGTTAGCGCTACTACTTTCCCAACAAGATTCATTGATTACCCTTCTCTATTTATTATTGGATCCTGTACCATTAATACGATAGAGTACCCGTTTTATTTCATTGAGTAGTAGTAGTAGTAGCAATAATAATAATAATAATAATAATAATAATAATAATAATAATAATAATAATAATAATAATAATAATATTATTATTATTATTATTATTATACTATATGATTATTATCCCATAAAAATGTTTCATATTCACTTTTACTATTATTATAAATATAATTATTATTAATATTACCATTATTATTAGTTTAAATAAATTTCCTTTCATTTTATTTTACAAAGTTTGACTAAATTCAATTTAATTGATTATATCTATAAAATTTAAAAGTATAATTTATATATTTAAAATATACATAAAAATTCTAAAAATTGCAACACTGGTGTCAACACTAAGTCATTTTCCTTCTGTCATATAACTTTCATCCTAATTACAATTCCCACAGCGAAAATTTAATCATATTCTAAAATAACGTAATCATGTCACCTTTTATTTTATGAAACTTTTAATGTAGTTTTTGAATATATATATATATATATATATATATATATATATATATATATATATAAAATTTATTTTAAATTTTACATATACGATCAAATAAATTAAATTGTAAATAACTGTAGCCAAATCTCGTAAACCAAAATGAGAAATTTTTTTAGGACGGATGTAGTATTATGTTGTGGAGTGAGTATTGAAAATAGAAAAACAAAATGAATAAAATTTGAACTGTATAGAAGAATATATAGGTATTAAAAGGTAGGTGAAACTTTATTTTGGAACAGAGAAAAAAGTAAATATGAAACGTTTTTATGAGTTACAATGCTTATGTCACTAGTCTCATATATTATATCTAGACGACATACGGTATTTTTCATACTGATACATTCGAAGTACTTTTGCACATTTCTGAAAGAGAAATTTATCTAAATAGGACTAAAACATAATGACTTTTCCAATATAAGATCATATGTTTTTATTTCTTAATGTAGGACTTTTGGTCATTAACAAGTAGTCATTATTCAAGTAAATGTCTATGTCTAGCATTACTGGACATTATTCCTCCCACTAGGTCATTATTAAGTCCTATTTAGGGAATAAAAAAGTTTAAGTCCTACATTAGGAAAGTCATTATGTTTTAGTCCTATTTAGTGCAAATTTCACTTTCTGAAAAGTATAATAATCCCCATCTCAAATTCGCTGGGTATTTGTTTATTTACAGAGCAGCATTTATTGAAAAATGCATTTTATAATATATATATACATATGCACAATTGGTGCACAATTGGAAAATTTATAATGTTCATTACGTTTACACAACTATATGAATTTGACATACGCACATATCCGAGGAACATGCCCATTATAAAATATATTCATACACAATATAAAACACAATGTCTTTTTTAAATTGTTGTGAATATTGAAATAAATAATCAAATCATTAACAAGAATGATATAATATAAAACATTAATTTTTTAAAGTGAAAATCCAGAGAAAGTAATTTGCGGCATCCGTCTGAATTTAGTTGTACGCTTCTAAAAAATGAAAAAAAAATCCGCACATGTTCAGAACTTGTACGTTATAAAATTACTATGTACGGAGTATAAATTTATGAGTTACATAATATTTAGCCTATTGGATATGATGTAAATATATTGGGTACATTGTTGTGCGTGTGTGAGGGGCTTAATCTTACAACAAGAGTTGTGTACAACACTACGTTTGGGGTACCTACGCTGCTTCGTTCGTAAAATGTATTGTTCCTATCTCCTTAACTGACTCCCTATACCCATGCCCCCTACCCACCCCATGACTTAATTACTTGCCACACCGACGTACTTTCATGCCTATATATATGGTCGGATCGTTGTTTTACTTTTCACATTTAACTTAGCAAATAACGGTATCTTCTCATATTTTTCTACGACAAGACTATATTTATCTAAGCTGTACAAAAAGTGTTTACTCCGAATTGTTGAACATAATGAGCAATGCGGGGTAATAGTTTTTCAATTGGATTCGTTTTTTACTAAAAAAATGTTTAAAAGTAAGATTTTTTATATATGAAACAAAGAGTATATGTTTTTCTAAAGGAAAAGTATATGTCTCCATCAACTTGATATTGTGCCTCCTCTCACAAAAATTATTCCTTATAAATTAAAATTTCATTAATTTGGAGTTGATATTATTTCATGTTTGGGAGCTATATACATTATTGTTTTACTTATTCCCTCTCGCTAATTTTTCATTTGTTTTCGTTTTTGTTATCTCATTTTTTTTAGTTTTCTTCCGTTGAAAAAAATATGTTGATCATATACTACTTTTTTCCTTCTAATTATATTACTATTATCACATATTTTCTCCATTTCTTAATCTTGAGTCATGTGAAAATTGGATGGGACAAAAGGAGAGGGTATAAGCTTGTTAATTTGAATATTGATTGACAAAGAAGATGTATTTATCTTTTCTATTTGTTGTTGTTGTTGTAGCTAGAAAGGCGATTTGACAAAAAGAGAAGTGATGCAACCTATGGCTATAAAAAGAGAAGTTATCGTTGGAATTATAGTTATCTTTTTATATTCTGAGCTATTGATAACAACAGGTAATTAGTGATTTATACTATGCATTTTTTGAATTGTATTGTATGCATTTTAATTTAATTTTCTTCAATTAACAATAACATTGCTTTTGTGAGTTAGATCTCAAAATCACTCTAGTTTTCTTGAATTATTGCGGACTACTGCAAACAAACAACTCATTGAAAATCACTCCTTTTATTTAAGCTTACAAAAGATAATCATTCATTCAACTTGATTGCACACATTAGTCACAATATAAGTAAGTCAAAAGTGATCGAGATTATTTTGCCATATAAATTAAATTTTCTTTAAACAACACTTTTGGAATTAGCTAGAGTGTATTAGTGCAGAGTATCAAATGATCTTTTGTATCTCTATTTTAAATAAATTTCAGGAGCAAAAGTAATGGCACCTAAAGCAAACCAATTAGCTCCTGAAGCTAATCCCAATTGTGACGAGATCATTCATGCAAAGTCTGAATTACTGAGGAAGGTTGATGAAAATGGTGATGGGCATCCATATACAAAAGATTATGAATGTGCTCATTTAGCCCCATCTCATATTAATTTAATAATTAATTAATAACGGGATTGGTTTTGAGGACCCTCCTTTAAAGAGCAAGGCAATGGCCAAAATTAGGGTGATTTTTCATACATATAGTTTAATCATCCTATATAAACTATAGTGTATTCAAAATTTGGATGGATTCTCAAAATTAAGTTTTCGATATAAACTAAAAGGTGTAACAAAAATATATAAGAAATTAAAAACTAAGGTGTATCCAAAGTTTGATCGCCTTATTATTATGAGTATATGTAATTAATAATTTGCATCTTTATGAATAGATCGAATTGTCGTGTTACCATGATAATACGGCCAAATCATGGTTCTACTTCTTATGCTTAACTTAGCAAATAACGATCTTTTCTCATATCTCTGTATGACTTGAATATATCTCTAATTTGTACAACACTACGTTTGGAGTTCCTACGCTGCTTCGTTCGTAAAATATATTGTTCCTATCTCAAACCTATGCCCCCTACCCACCCCATGACTTAATTACTTGCCACACCAACGTGCTTTCATGCCTATATATATGGTCGGATCTTTGTTTTACTTTTCACGTTTAACTTAGCAAATAACGGTATCTTCTCATATTATTCTACGACAAGACCATATTTCTCTAAGTTGTACAACAAGTGTTTACTTCGAATATAATTGTTGAACATAATGAGCAATGTGGAGTAATAGTTTTTCAATTGGATTCGTTTTATACTAAAAAAATGTTTAAAATTAAAGTAAGATTTTTTATATATGAAACAAAGAGTATATGTTTTTCTTAAAAAATATACATATCTCCATGTTTAAACTTGATATTGACCCTCCTCTCACAAAATTTGTTCCTTATAAAAAATCATTAATTTGGAGTTGATAGTATTAGTTCATGTTTGGGAGCTATATACATTATTGTTATACTTTATCTGTCTCGCTAATTTTTCATTTTTTTCGTTTTTGTTATCCCATTTTTTAGTTTTCTTTCGTTGAAAAAATGTGTTGATCATATATAACGTTTTTCCTTCTAACTATATTATTATTATCACATATTTTCTCCATTTCTTAATCTTGAGTCATGTAAATATTGGATGGGACAGAAGGAGATAGAGGGTATAAGTTTGTAACACCCCAATCCGTATAACCCGGAATTACACGAATTAAGGTGAAACGAGGGATAAATAAAAATTTCGCTTGACATTTGAAAATGACAATTTATTATAAATATTAAATTTACAGACTCTGGATCGCGACCCATTTAAAAATATTTTCAGAGTAATGCGGAAGTACAATAATAATCAAATCATGACATATTTTAAAATATGTTGATCAGACATTTGCCTGCTATCCTTGCATCTCCTCTGACTCAATGCCCTCCGGGAATGGTTCCATCATTGTCTTCTTGTTACCTACGTGTAGTCAACGAAAAATACAAACTACACGCTCAGCGAAACCGCTGAGTGGTACCACGCTAGAATTGTAGAATGATTCACAGACGTATACATATACATATATATACGTCCACAAATGTATAATAATATTCATGATATGGCACATTATATCATATGGTCAATTTGATGATTCATGATGATAAATATTCAATAATAATTACATGATGGCACAATTAATCAATTTGCTTGTGAGGATGATTACATGATACTCATATAATCAATATACTTGTT